ATTCTATTAACAATGTTACTCTCATCGACATTGAAACAGGATTCAAAACTAAAGCAGATAGAGAAATAAAAGAAGCTTAATAGATTGGTAATCTAAAAACTGTTAAACTTTCAGAATTAATTTAAATCATGGAATAAATTATCTCCTTTCATTGGTTTTTGTCAGAAAATATAACATATCTTTTTCAGTCAGTCTCCAGGTGTCACCTTTATTTTACTTAAACATTTGAGTATAGTTTTAAATATACATATATTCAGCTACTTCTAAAGTAAAATATCCCTAACACCTTTTCACATACACTTGCCAGCAATTGAGATGCCTACAACAGTACACACAGAGAAATAAACTAAACATTTCCTGGAAAACCAGATGAGCTTCATGACGTCACTAAACTCCCTTTATATATAACTAATTCGATTACACCACCATTCCCAGTTTGCCCCTGAAGAAGAAAGGTCCACCTTTAGAAAGTGCTTGGGTTATAGGGTTTTTATTCATTTCCATGAAAATAATAAACTTATTGAAATTACTGCTTGTATCTACTGTATTTTGTTAATTCAACTAAGTAATCAAAATATTGGCACTATGATTTCTCGTTATTTTTCATTGAAATGTGTTTAGTTTAATCAGTTGGTTTCATTATTCACAAAAATATATGTCAAATCAACATTTTGTTGTTCCATATTTAAAACTTTTTTGTCTCTCTTCACACTAGAATATTGTTTTGTAAAAATAATGACCAGTTTTATACCCATAATAATCTTATTCTTCATTACTCCCTGTAACGAATTTATCATATATTTATTTTAATATCAACGTTTGTTTAGATTAAGTTTATATTTTAAAACATGCATGCTTATACTGTTAAATATGTATTGGGAAACTCCCGCCTATCCTCCAAAGTTGTAGAAGATTCCCAAGAGTAAGAATCAACAATATATGTGTGTACATAAACGCTTAAATTTGTACTGTAATGTAAAACTGAAATTTCTAGAATGCCTCCACAGCCTATAAATATAACCAATGTGTCATGCCGAAAGAGAGTATCTATTATCGGTTTGCTACACTTGGTAGTGCTAAAAAAACCTTGAAAGCTATAACTGTGATTGTTATAATGCTTACCAATCAGAAATCTTCATATATTTGACCAGGAACCTTTACAAAGTTCGAACATTACAAATTATTTATCTTCAGTCGATTCTCATCGGACATTAGTATTTTTACGAAAACATTACCTAATGTCACCAGTGGAAAAATCAGCGTGTGATCAGTGAAGGACGAAGCTAACTAGCTTCCCGTTAAGTGAAATATACCTCGTAATCAACTAGCTCATCGTGAACCCTTGATAAGATATCGAAGAAGTTCCATATTAAAATGAAGACTTTATATTGTTTGTAAGTTTGTGAAACTTTTGTTTTATATCATTGTTTGTAATAACTATTTGTAATAACTGTTATTGCAAATTGTATTGTTGTCTGTATATTAAAACGTATTTGTGTTAAAAAAGGAAACTGTGTGTGTCAATCTTGTTGCCAAATATCATAAACTGACTATATATATATATATTGGCTTTTACTTAACTGCTGAGTCCAAAGTGCAATTTAACTACCAAATTTAAATTATCAGGCTATTTGAAATTCTAATACGTAACACCCCTAACAAGTTGGAAGTTTACTGTCCCTTTCTGTCGTAAAGAGCACCTAAAGTTTTTATAGGCTTCATTATGTACATTCTGTTCACCACCACACGCTTGATTACCTCAATATAGCTGTGTCTGTATAAAATAAAAAACTAAATCCCAGAAAATCAGAATATATGTAACTTATGTTAACTTGTACCACATAATAATCTCACTGTTACGTTTAGCATTTTCCTGATTTATAATCATTGTCATGAAGTAATGTTTATTTTCATCAACAAAAAATAATAAAAAAAATCAGTTATTTTAGTAGTCTTATGAAAATTTTTACAGAGAAGTCTATAGAACAGTAGTAATTGAATTTTCAGCTTCTTACAGATTTTGTATTACACATATTACAACATGTATAGAGACATTTTCATGTACAAAAGTTTAGGATTAAAAAGTAACTAAATTTTTGTACCTTAAGATGTGTATTACAAAGAGGAGTTCAGAAAATAATCATTAAACACAAAACAAACTGAAAATACAAAAATTAGTTTCATGTAAGAATAATCAATGAGTTCAAAGTGATTGATTAATGAGCCTGATGACTAATCGACTAACTTAATTCCACAAATCACCAAGCTTTTCATGTGGGTACTGTACAATATGACTGTGTATCCACAGTGATCGTTTACTAATACTCCTATTCTGAAGCAGTTGTGATTGTGACATTTCATCACCTAATTTTGCTTCAAAACTTTTTGCATGTATTGGATATCCCTTTGGAAATAGTGACATATAATGAGATATAGCCTGTCAACCATACCTTCAAAAAGTTCCTTAAAAAGGAAAGGACTAGAGTGAGGAGTTACCAAAGATTCTCTTAGTTTATCATTCTGTATCAGAATCAGGGGAAACAAGCTGGCATTCCTTCTGTTCTCACGTAACATTTGAAACAAGCTTCCAAGACTGAGTACTACTACTACTGAAGTTCCCAATGATGTTAGGAGCCGTAAAGACAAAATAAGGCAATACACAGCTCAAACTGAAAGAACCAAGGAACACAATTTTAAAATAAGTGACATTTGTTGCTAATGTGGAATACAGCAAGTTGGAACTTCAGTACAGGATATTCCTTATGTTGTTCTAAGAAATACTTCAGAGAATTCATTTGCACTTGTAAGTTGGTCAAATCATTAATCTTTCTACCATTCATGTTATGAGCAACACTAGCCAATTACGGCATGTCTACTTCAATTGTCCCGATACCAAATAAACCCCTGAAAAAAAACCTGCTGCAAGCTGACCTAAAGATGAAAGTTTCTTAAAACATCCTTTTTTCTATCTGAGTTACTTTTGTAGATTGGTCATCCAAGACTCTCTCTCTACAAGTGTTGTTCTGAATTAAGGATAAGTAATTGTTGCCCATTTCACCTTTGTTTTTTTATGGAAGCTTAGTTTCAAACTTCATCTTGTTTAATATTAACCAAAATTCATTATACTCATTCTTTTTTCATTTTATTCACCTGGCAGGATAATTTGAACATGCTCTGACTTTTAACCTAACACTCACCTGGGTAGATGAGAATCCACCATTTTCATTCTGCTGGGATACCAGCCACCTCATGATAGAAATAGCATTCCCAATTTCAGCACGTAAAGTGTGAGTGAGAAGTGCATATGCTGTCATCTCGATGTCCTTGGAGTCTGGCAGGAAGAAGTGGTCAGATCTTTTGTCGGTTATGTTGATTAATGGTTCTGATCCTTTCCAATACAAGATGTCTCCTGCAGCAGAAATAAACTCGCAACTTAAACTCAAGAGAAGGTGCATAATAACAACTTTAACAAATGTGATACAAAAAGGATACATTTATTGTTAATCTGAAAACATTTTAAACAATAAATTCAAATTGAAAGAATAAAAATAGAAATTTTATTCACAAGTAGATGTATTATAAATCTATCCAGGCTATCAATATTTGTATTATAGTGTCTTATAAATCTTTGCCAGTTCTATCTGTATCTATAATCACTAACATGACATTAATAATAATATTTATAATTTGATTTCAACAAAAACAAAATCTGTAATATCAGTTTTATAATCTGGATTAATAAACAAACTCATCCATAACAAGTAATAGAAGGAAAACAACAAGTGTACCTTCTTTCTTTGCAAGATTTAGCAACTTTTGGAATGCTCCATCCTTGTTGGTGTTATCAGAAAGTTGAAGAGCATAACTGACGAGGGCTATGGAATAAGGATCTGTTAATGTTGGCAGCTGCTGAACGAGATAATGTTCTGCCAATTTTATGACATCCGAGTAAGTTTGCTGTGCCTGCAAACAGTAAAAGGACTTTAAGACATTGAACAAGGAAACCTTCCTGGGTTAACAAAGTTAACAAAATTAGGGAAATTAAAATAATTATGATAAACAACAAATCAAGTTGCATGAAATGACATTCTTCACAAGAGAAAAAAAATGCAAAACTGTCAATGTTAGAAAAATCTTGTAAATACCATTACCTCAAATTGACTTTTTAATCAGAACCAAGCCTGATATAAACACAAAAATAACAACAAACTAACCTGGTTTTCTAAGAATGCTATGAGAACATATGCTGTCAGAGGTATTCCAGTCCCAGCTCCACCCTAATCCATAAAGTAATCATTGTGCATGAAAATTATTATCCATTCATTTAAATTACCCATATTAACTCCAAACTTCCACACACACACAGATTATACATGTATTCAAGACTACATGTTCACAGTTTCCTGGAAGAATGAGCATATGTTTTTTTGTTTCTAAACTCGACTAAAAATACTTTATGAACCTGCTCTCAATCTGTTATTGGAGGATCTTTTCAAAGTTTTTAAACATAATTTATTATTTTCATCACAAAGTTTATTTACATTAAATATTCAACAAGGGCTTGAAATGCAAGTTATTTTGCAAACTTATTAGAAATATTGTTTCAATGCAGCACAGGTTGCATTTTAGAAAAAAAAAATCATATCTTTAAGTTATCTCTTTGTCATACAAGTAATACTGAATGCTTTATCATAGATGTTTTTGATGTTAGTTAAGTATTACTTTGAAATTATAACTGCAAATTCATCAAAGAATATCTACAACCATACCTGCATTCGTTTGTAGTGGACTTCCCCGGGTTCATTAAAAGAGCCATCACTAAGCTGCTGTTGTGATAGCCACTTTAATGACTTTTCAATTACAGCAGGATCAATATCTATATAGGGTACAGCCTGGTGGAAGGACTTGACCACAAAAGCTGTTAACCTGTAATAAATAACACATTGGAAGTCACTCTTAACAAAGGTTCTGTCCAATAAAAGAAACAGGACCCAAAAGAAGTCACTCTTAACAAAGGTTCTGCAAAATAAAAGAAACGGGACCCAAAAGAAGTCACTCTTAACAAAGGTTCTGCACAATAAAAGAAACGGAACCCAAAAGAAGTCATTCTTAACAAAGGTTCTGCCCAATAAAAGAAACGGGACCCAAAAGAAGTCATTCTTAACAAAGGTTCTGCCCAATAAAAGAAACGGGACCCAAAAGAAGTCATTCTTAACAAAGGTTCTGCCCAATAAAAGAAACAGGACCCAAAAGAAGTCATTCTTAACAAAGGTTCTGCCCAATAAAAGAAACGGGACCTGAAAGAAGTACACTACTTAACAAAGGTTCTAGACCAATAAAAGACGGGAAC